TCAGACCACACAATTAAAATACAGAAATCATCTGAAATATATAAGAAAACGTGCGTAATTGGAAATCAGTTTCAGAATAAGTCAAATGTTGCAATTCATTGTTGTGTGAGCTGTATTTCAATTTACCAATCACATTTCAGTCTTTTAAAACAGACAATGCCCTTGTTTATTATAAGCCCTCTGTTAAAATTAATTTTATTATGTGAGGATGTTTTGTTATTGAATATTTGTCTTTTTCTTTCGTACTACTAGTTGATGAAATAGTCCAACCTTAATATCTTATTCCCAGTCAGCAACCAATCTGCTTCTTATATACAGTAGGTGATGGTCACTCTCAGTTTGTATTAGACCCTGATCACAACAATTCACAGAAAAGCCTGAATTAATCAATAAAAGTTGTGCAGCGTTTAAAGATGCATTGAAAGCTCTTGAAGTTTAAGGTTTTGTAATTTATCTCTGTCTTTTTCTGTATGAAACAAGTATTTCTCCATGCAATATAATTGAATCAATAATAAGCACTTCATAGGACTGAAAATAACATTGGAGCACATGTAATACACCAGCTGTTAACACAACTATCCATTAATAAAGCATTGTTAAATGAAGACAATTTCACATTTTTTAATAAGCATGCAATTAATCAGCCATCAGCAGTGGTCAATTTCTACTAGCTTATTAACATTGGCGTTCCTAACTACAAAATTGAACCTATACAATAATGTACCTTCCTCACATAAATTCTAGAGTTAACACTAATATGAAGAGCTGTTCCACAGCTGTTATCGTTATAAATAAAATACATTCAGAATACTGCAAATTGTCAAAGGAACCGATTTTCTAGTGTTGCTAAAAATGGTAAGGTCAAGTGCACAGAATGTTTCAGATTAAAAGGCAAAGCCAGCCAGGAGCCTGGCAAAAAGCCAGAAAACTGCAGCAGCCCAATTACGCAAAATATGGATTGAAAATCCTAAAAACCCACTGGATTTGCATCTACTGGCTGAAAAAATGTAATGGATTTCTGCCGGCAATCGAATCTTCATGCACAAACTAATTTTGCCCGACAGCAGTCTCTCACTGTCTTTTTTTTGTATCAGCAGGGGTTCACGAAGATTTTCAGAGAAGTAATTGTGTTGTAAAACTGTACTGGTGTTTATACAAAACAATTTAAAATCCCCATCGTAGCGTCTCTTAAAACACTGTTCACTGAGCGTCAGGTGGGTTATTTTTTTAAACATTAGTGCTTAACCTAAACTAAGCACGTGCGATCAAAGCCATAGAGTTTAAAATGAAATGAAATACAAATACTTTATTGACACTTTATTGTTAGGGTTTGTGTACTATTGATCGTCCTCCTCCAAAACCGCACTGGACAAGTCAAGGCCTCCCGCATCTAAATGAAAGAGGTTTCTACTGGCAGACTAGGCCATTCTTTTAATTTCCTGAGGAAGCTCTAATCTTTCAGAGCTTGGCTGGCCAGGTTTGACAGTAATTGTAGTTTACTAGACTCCTCGCAGCAACGCTAAACTCAAAGCACATCTTTTACAAAACCTCACAGGGAGCACTGTTCATGTTTCCTTCCCCGGGGTTATTCCTCATGAAATACAAGTGGGCACCACCAGCGTATGAAAGGCATTGCTCATGTGTCTACTGCTGTTCCACTCTCCCCCACTGTAAGGCTGTGCATCAAGTATTCTGGAAACCATGGTTACGTCTCTCCATAGTTCTGTGGACTTCAGTATTCAAACTCACGGAGTTTTGACACGCCATGATGGTGAACTACAGCGCAGTTAATGGGGATTTAAACCCTGTACTGCCAACCCAGCTGTGCACTTGTGACATTTATAAAGAAACGTCAAAGAAACTCTGTGCGGGAACAAAGGGGGGCTTAATTCCACGCTGAAATGCAGAGAGAAAGAACACAATGTGTCGGCTGTCAGGCCCCTGTTCAGGTGCGAGGACCTCAGGGGACGCAGCTCCCCACTCGAGCTAATTCTGTCTGGCCAGTGTAGGATTGGGCTGCAGTGCCCTCCTCCGACCCGACTCTGCGATCAGAGCTCAGCACGCCACATCCAGTATTCCCTTTGTCTCGGGGGCCTCCGTGTGTCAATATCAACCCCTGCGGAGCCCCAGAGCTGCCTGCGGGTCACGGACAGAGGGATGTCCCCCACTTCTGCAGTGTCCCGTTCTGCCAAATTCAATTGCGGGAGGGTAGAACCGGAAACGAAACCCGCCCACGCGTTGAAATGTCCAACCTTCGTCCAGACACGCGCTCCTCGCTTTGCCTGCGTTGGCATTGTTTCTTCAGGATATCGCTTCACCTTTTTAATTCATGCCGTGACCTTTCTCTGCAGGTCATGTGGCTCCTCCCCCTCTCCCCTTGCACATCCCGGACATCCCGGGGGGGGTATCAGTGAGGGGCGAGGGGCAGATTCGTGTTATTATCTCTCAGTCGGGATGGAAGCCATGAGAAGACATTAAACCAAGCCAAAATGATGTGGCACGTAAAAAGCAACTGTAGTAATTTAATCAAGGGTTAGGGATGTCATGGTCAAGTTGTATCATGTACTGGTAAGGACTTATTTACAATACTGCGTGCAATCTGGGTTGCCATGTGACAGGGAAAGATACTGCTGCTCTGGATTCAGTCCAGAGAAGAGCAACAAGTCACATTCCTGGGCTAAAGGGAATGTCCTACACTGACAGGCTGAGGGAACTGAATCTTTTCAGTCTTAAACAGAGGAGACTATGAGGGGACAGAGTCAGCCCCCCAGATCTCATCAGAACAAACACCGAGGCACGAACCAAAAGAAACTACCTGGAGCTGTGCGCAGAAGGCACTTATTTACCCAAGAGGCTGATCAGCTGTGTTGTTAAAAGCTGGTACCCTGGCTTTGTTCCAGTAACAGCTGGATGAAATCCTGGCATTAATTAGCTGCTAATGACCTAACAAGCCAGCTGGCCGAACAGACGGCTCTCGTTTGTGACCTGTCTTATATTCCTGTGAATCTGGTACTGGGGTACACCGACCTCAATGCCTCCCCCATAGTGCCAGGCCTGCCTCTGTAGGGCATAACCCTAAAAACATGAGAAAGGAAACTGTAGCCCGGGGTAAAACAATTCCTAGCACATTCAGAAACAGCAGCGCTTTGCTAAATGAAAGCGCTGCAACGTTAATATAATTACCAGGAGAGCAACATACTTAGAATCAGTTGACTGTTCAGAAACCTGCAACACATTCAAGCATATAACAGAACCAGTTCCAGTTCATCATGTATCATTACATAGACCCTCCTGCTGAGACCTGAGACTGGGAGTAAGATGCCCTTTGATTAAGGATGAATGGATTGCAAGATTCCATAGGAATCAACTTGAAATATGAAATCAATTTAATTCTGATAAGTCTTTTAAGGAAATTAAGGATTCATTCACATTAGTATATACGTTTATCTGAGTGGGGATATGCAAGCCCAGTTTGTAATAGTGACATTACCTCATCATCAGACAGCTGTAATCGATGGATGATTGATAAATAAATAATGTACCTTTCCCCTTGTGAACCTATAAGCTCCTCAAAGGATTTGGAAAATATTATGGGCTCCATAATCCATAAGACTATCAGTATACTGAACAATACTGTATTTTGTACAGTAACTCAGAACAGTGTCTAACACTGGTGTTTTTTTCTGTACTATGAAGCACTTTTAAACTTCCAAGTTTTTCCTTTCTGGCAATCTGTGCTCTTGGAGTTTATCCTTCAGGAAACCAAAAACATCTCAGGACATACCTTACTCCACAGGCTCATGACTGTCCCTTATTGTTAATATCCTGATGTAACTACCTCCTGTCTGCCAAGAAGCACGGTAGATGGTCAGCACTGTCTAATATCCCAGCACATTAGAGTGGAACCAACTGTTTGCTGGTTTTATTATTGGTTTTTTCTACGGTTATTAGGGCCCTCTGTAATGTCCCGAATGTGAGAGGATCGTGAAAAAAATGTTACTTGAAGTCTCTCAGGCACCAACAATAGCCTGGTGATGCAGTGGTTTGTAACAAGCAAACGTTTGGCATTAACATACCGATCACAAAGATGATCTTCAGCTTCTTCAGTTCCTCTGTTTAAGACAACAAACAAGACAGTGGTGTTTAAATGAAACATATCTTTACTTCAACCTTAAAACAACACCTTTATTACAAAACAGTTTATGACCTTAAAAATTAGTTTTATGGAATACCTACTGATTGGAATGATACCGTGAAAAAACTTGTGAATATTAACATTTCTAATCACAGATGTTTTTTACACAATCCCTCAACATTAAAATTGTAAGGCGCCCATATATAATACACACATAAAATAAAGCATGCAGTGACAGAAAAAGATGTTAAATAATTTTGTAATCATTCAGTTGTTACTGATTGAGATGATGGTGTTCTGAAATTTGCCAAAGGACTTCTGTCATCAAGCAAAAAAAAAAACACTTAGCATATCATTCTTGGTAAGCGAATATTTACCGTCTATATTTTCTTCTCCATATACAGTCATTTCATCTTCAGCCTGCCAAAACACAAAACAGTGAGAATCAAATAATATCTAATGACTGTGTATACATTTATGCTGTAACAAACTGATACAGTATATGCTGTACAATATATAATAACAATTTAATACAGACTATTTTTACATGCGTACGATTATGATCATGATGACACAGATACATCAATATATAGATAGATAGAGAGTTAAATTTCCAGTCTTTCACTGTGAAGAGACAGCAAACACTACTATACACTAGGCTACCATACTGCGAAATGCTATGAGGGTACCATTACTCAATCAAATAGGCTTTTTTAGATGCCGTCTGCCAGCAGCAAACCAGCGCCAATATGCCCTGAAGTCACAACACTCGAACATCTTACTGGGTATGTTCAAGCTCCCTTACTGGCCTTCATCCTGAAATACATTCACACACTGCCGCGCTCGGCGTCGAAACTGCGCTGTGCTGGCAGACTGCTTACAGGTCCAGCTGAAACCTTGTTCTAAAGGGCATCAGCTCGATCTAATTAACTGTGAGGCTGCGGAGATGCATTATGGGAGCAGACCTGCTGTGAAGGTCTGGCAGTTTTGTTGCCACTCCGAAGCAGCGTGTTGTCATATCGAGCGGACGTGGATAATGGCTGTAGGTTCCACAGTAATACAGCTGCTCTTTCTCAGAGGAAAAGGGCACAGGAGTCACAGGGGAAGAATATTTAGTCTTTGGGCACTTTCATGTACCTGTAGTCTGTAGGAAATGTCAGCGATTCCCGAATGCCAGAGAAGAATTTGCTACAGGGCCCTGATGGCTTTTCGCTTACTGATTGCAGGGGGAAACAGGAGCAATGGTTCCAGGGGGTCACAGAGAGAGACGGGGAGTTAGGTTTGTGGGGGGGGGAAGTGTGAAAGAGATGTACCTCCCTCTCCTCCACCCGAAAATCAGACCAGAAAAATCGGTAATGCTCCAATCTGAACAAGGTCTTTATTTTTACTTTTAGCTGCAATTTCTGTAACTTCATTTAGACATTTCCAAATTAAACACCATTTCTGGACTGGAGGAGCACTGGAAGGAAGCAAAGAAGTGCTGAGGTAGTAGAGGGAAGACAGAGCTTTGTCAACAATGAGGGACGAAAGGTTCCTGCATAAAGTACAGTTAATCTCTTCAGGTTTTGAGAAAGACGGGCTCTCTTTGCCCAGTTATAATGACATTTTTGTGTGCTTCAGTCCCTTAGAGACACCACAACAGACTTAAACTCACCTCACATACAGCCCTTTCATTATTTTACCTGTTTTTGATTCTGGTGGAATGTGAGAAGGTATCTTCATTTTGGGGACTCTCAACACCCCTTCTTGCCCTTACCTACCATGAACCCAACTTTGCTCCCAGTGTGTGGAGTGCCTGGTGAATTCTTTAACAAACACATTCCTGGAATCTCTTTCACAGTGCTTAAAGATTTAAGAAACACCTTCAGTGTCATGAAGTCGGCTCCCCACTACAGCTGCATTTTAATGTACTAATCTGGAAGCCATGCACAGAATAGTCTATATTTGCACGACCTACACACATCCCTAGTGGGCCCCCCTTATAAATACAAACAGGCAGAGTTTAGCAGCGCAGTTTATATAAAAAAAGAACTTCAGCTCTACACTTGAGAGTAAGGAGAGTCAATGGCATCTACTGTATGCTTTTACAGATTTCAAAAATTGGTTCATTTTTTAAAAAAAGGCTGTGGATTGTGGTTGTTATGAGAACCCGCAGAGTGCTTTGTAAATTAGGACAACAGAAGACCATAGGAGCTACCACAGAAACAGGAGGAAACAGAGTTATATGGGTCTCTGCCTGCACACCGAAAGACAGAGACACATTTAAAAGACAGGGGAGTTTTTCCTTAATTGAAGCCAACCAAAGTGAAGAGCTGTCATGTACATCTGATGGCAGCCCAGGGGTGACTCAGAGATGCATTCGGAGTGTGGGAGGCTGGTGTGACATGAGGAGAACTCTGTCAGCACCACACTTACAGCAAGAGGGTCATGGGAGTTGGAGAGGCTGATTTGTGGCGGAAACCTATTGTTCCTCTCTAATTGATGATGAATCACCTTTTTAAACTGAGCAAACAAAAACAGGGGACAAGGCGTGTAAATCTGAGTGTGCTTACAGAGAGTGTGGGATTATTGACTAAACACCTTAAAAACCTTCGTGTAGCCTAAACCCCAGGAAAGCTATCGAGAAACACAGAAGCGTGTCATACATTTAATTAAGATTTATCACCTAAGTAAAATTTAAATATTATGAATGTTTAAACTGTTAAATAAAGATGAATATGCTCTTCAACTTGAGTAGATGGAATTTCTCCTGGCTTTGGAAGTACCACTAAGTCTGTGACGAGTCAATCTGGTAGCCAGGGCAGTGGCTAAGAAATTCGCTACTCTAATTTCTTGCCCGACTGATTAAACCTTTGCAGTTGGAGCTGGTGCGCCAAATAGAAATTTCTGTGCCGCCCTTTTCTGTCACGACCAGCGTTGCAACAAAGTCACGAGACGTCAGGAAAAAGCAAAAACACAAAATGAGCTTCACATCGTCAGGCTGGATGTGGCTGCCGCAGAAAATTATAGGTTTGCACCGTTGCAAAAGCACGCAAAGACATTCAGGACTATTGCAGCCTAATTTCCCATCTCCATTCCTGCAGCAAATTAATATGCATGCCTCTGTCCCATTAATCTTGTATTCCGAGGTGTATTGAGTGAGTGATGATACTTCTGTACTTGCCAGGAACAACTGCTGCTGTGACAATTTGTTTTCTTTTGAGTCCTATGGGTGGTTGTGTGAGGTGTGAAAAAAGACTTTAGTGGCCTCACAAACCAGCAAAGATAGCAAGCTTAAGCTGCTTAACGTTTTTCATTTGGAATAAAGACTAATTAATTTTGTCCTAGTAGATTTTTAAGTACTTTCCACTTTTTTATATTGCATACAAGTTAAACAATAGCAAGAATTCTCAAAATAATCTTGGGATGTATATATATATATTTATCATTCTACCTATAAAAATGCTTTCATCTTTATCTTATATACTTATAAACTCCTATTTGTTTTTTATATATCTATAAAACTATATTAAAATTATTCTCATCAGCATTTTTAATGAAAGCACAGGCTTGTTATCAATGCTGTATATTGTATAAAAAATATGACGAATCATTTTTAGAAGATTTTTAATTAATATGAAAATAAAACAAAAACAGAATAATATTTTTCATTTGGAATTATCCAATAAATACAATTTATTGGTATGAGTAGATCAGTTCTGTCATTGTTGTAACTAAATTGCCCAGCCTGTGAGGCAAAGATACGAAGTCAGATTTTCTCTGTCAGACCAGTCCACCAGATACGCCTCTTAAATAGACTATTTATCCCTCGTTCACGGGCCTCAACAAAGGTTGATTGAGATGGGAGCTAGCAATATGACATGCCTGGTGAACTTTATATCTGTACTGTATACCTGTACATTAAAGGCATTAATCTCTAGTTATTGTTTTGTGGCTCAAAGCCTGACACAGCACTTCACTCGAACCTATACATCATACAGATGTACATTTCATCAGGAATGCATGTGTCTATAATATTTTAAGTGGTGAACCTGACAGAACAGTGACAAAAAGTCTGGGTTTTGTTGAAACTGGGATATATTCTTGCAAAGGGCCTGTGAGAGAATCTGCCCAGCAACAGTCCCTGTCCAACTTGTTGAGTTTTTGGGCCATCGGAAACTGATGGTCATTATATAATTATTGATTACTTATTTGTATTTGTCTGACAGTTTTGTCCAAGGCAACATACATTTGCACCTACAGTACTAACACAATTAGGCATTTTACTAGAGCAGTTTGGAAGTTGAATCTACAACCTTCCAGTTCCTAGTCTAAAACCCTGTTCACAGTGCCACACTTCAGACCCATTGCACAGATGCACAGATGCACAGGTGCACAGCAGCTCGGAAGAAGCAACCATTCACCTTTCTGAAATAATCTACAGAAAAATGAGGAACACATTCCGGAGCTTTACCCCCAAACCCATGGGACAGACAACGGTTAATACATTTTTCCTTGTTTTTAATCATTGTGGTTGATCAGGGTGAATGTTAATGCCGACACTGGCTTTATTTCCTGGACAGCGTGAGGTGAGCAGCTCAGTCTCTGGGTGATCGTGCTACATTAACAGCACAGCCCACCGTGCCACTGAATACATGAGCGAACAAGACTGAGGAGCGCTAACGAATTCAGGACACGTGGCTTTAAGGCTTTGCTCATTTGCTCCAACGTGCTTCAGGCAAATACAAATTGAGAATAAAGAGATGCTTGATTGTTTTCATTAACTGCAGATAATTTGAGCAAATGGCAGTTATATTCTCTCTACAGTACCTTCATAATATTTGCTTTGCCAGCTGATACAGAAACCTACATAGGAAGATGGGGACAATACACAGAAATTAAGTTCTTTTTTATGAAACACCATGTTTCCGAAGGCTATTCTGCTTGAAGTAACGATAACTCTTTGTGCTAACAGGTAAACAGACCCCTGCTTGCACACAACTAATCAATGACATTGTTCACGTCTGTGTTAAAATTGTTCCTTTGCTATAGAAAATATTATTTTTAAAGAAATTTCAGGAAAAAAATAATAGCCTCAATTGGATGTAAGCTCTGCCTTTAATACTTATAGATACAGTACTTATGTTTTCAAATGATTATCAACAGAACTTCTTCATGCACATCATGTTGTCTATACATAAAGTGTTTTTTTTTAAGACAAAATGCAAGTGATTTCATAAGACTGGGAAAAAGAGAAAGATTTACATTTTTGCAAGAAATCAGTGGCCAACAGCACACTCTCATCTGCGTGAAGCTGATTATGTAAAATCATGCCGGGCTGGAAGGTCTTCACAGCTTTTGGGAGTGTTGTTGAAAAAAAAAGGTGTAATATATTTTGTTTCTCTTGCAGCATAATTCCTGGAGCGATGCAACTGTGGCATAAAGAACTGAAGAAAAAGCCAAAGAAAGAGACCTTTTCTGCCGCACAAATTGTAACCAATGTGCTGAAAAGTGATGGGGCCTTTTGTCTTCTAGAGCAAGTATTCTGCTTTTAAAGAAAAAGGTGTTAAAGTATTAAAACGCAATTTAAACTAGAAGCTGTAAGCAACTTAACTGTGATGTCTAGGTGACAGATATGACTTAACTGCAGCCCACATAACACTGCCTCCACTTCTAGATGTTGGAGTATCTTGCATTATCATGTATGCCATCTACAGGCCATGCCCACAAAAGCAGGGGGCTCCCACCCTGGTCCTGGAGAGATCAAATTGTAATCTTGCACTTCCATCCTCCTACGTATAAATATTCGCCCGCTGTCCGCACCTCTGTACACATCTGCTTGCTCCCTCCACCCCACCTGCACCCTTGTGGCTGCCTCCCTGGTTCATTCCTCCCAAGTGAGGGGCGGGTTTTGGCAAACTGAACCTTTCCTTGTGTGTTATTCCCTCTGCCAGGCGACTTAACAGCAAACACTAAGATATTAAGTCCATGATCTCTTTGTCATCTAATTTGGTGGCAATTAGAATTTGATTGATTGAACTGATTGAAAAGGGAAAAATGTATCATCTCAGGTGATGGCTGTGCATGATGTGCAGTTCCCTCCTTACAAAAGGTAGCTAACTTAACTGCACAGCACCGACAACATACAGTACCGGTGATGGCAAAGGGCAATAGCACAGTGGTCCTGGCAATTCCTCAGGTATCAAAAGGTTTCTTTCCTTCTTGGTGTCAAAATGAAAGAAAAATAGAACAATCTTTAGAAGAATAATAACGCTTCCAGCTACTCTGCCTAGAGAGTCTGAAAATATCCCAGACAGTCAGCTATGCAAGCATCTGTTTGGAAAGAAAAACACTTCTGAAAATTATCAGCTGTTCCAATCCAGATTTTGCTTTTGAACTCTTTTTATATTTTTTATATAACACAAAACAGTACAAGCAATATTTGATTATGCTGAAGGTATTAGAGTACACAGAATCCACATTTTGTTTTTAAGCAAAATCCTATTTTTTGTTTTAATTACAGTTCTCTGCATTTGCGTCAAGAGTCGATCTCTCCTTTTGCTAAGGTAATGTAAGAGCATTTCTTTAGGAATGAGGAATTTTTAGTTTAATTATGTTATTTGATAAAGAGTAAATGAAATAAAATGCACATAAAAATACATTTAGAGTAATTAATTCCAAGCTTCCTTTTTTTTTAATAATCATGTATAGCAACTGGGATGTCCCTGTGTTTCCAGCTTTCAGACACGAGCTCATGGATAAGGTCTTAAAATAACAGGCCCCTGAATGGGAAGCAGGAATAATAATCTTAGGAACAATAGTCTGAGAAGGATTGTCAGGGTAACAGGCTGCGAGAAGGAAGTCAGTCATTTCAGACTGAGTACAGCAGAGAAAACAAGATTAAAGAAACAAGAGGGTGTGGTAACTGGAAATTAGAGGGAAACCAAACAGAAACAGTAAACACTGTGGAGTTTGCACAGCTCGGATACAGGATATTAAAAACAATGGTGACTCAATACGCATTACCAAAAAATATCTGAAAGGTTTTACAGCGTAAGAAACCACAAAAGCACTGTGGCCATGATTGTTGCACCATGCATTATGAGTTTTATCTATTATGCACCATTCTGATGAATGTTAATAATAATAAACCACTCATTCTCAGGATGTTGTGGGGTGAAAGCAGAGGGAAACTGTCAGCTATGAAACCACCTCTTAAAAACACAGTTCTTCTGAAGAGGCAGATGTGCACAAGAAATGTCTAGTACAACAAGTACCATGTGTTCACTCATGCTAGAAAACAGGCTTTATGTTTACTGTGATCTGAGAGCAAAATGGGCGCAATCTGCTGACCATGGTTTTCTGAAGATACTGATGACCGACAGGAATCAATGCAGGGGATGGCCTGATTATGAATGAATCTGGCAACACTCCCCCGGTTTCCCCATCTGCCTTTGACCTGTGGATGTCACTACCACCCTGTGTAACAGGACGTTTCAGAAGCCAGATCTCTGCCAATTTAAAGAAAGCGAACGCATTGTGTCACAGGGTGCATTGGTACTGATGATGCCACCTTCTCTTGCTTTGTAGTGGTTGTAGTGGAGTTTGCATTTGTCTAGGGAGTGGTGCTGTACTGTATGTGCTCTGGGGATCAAACCCCAGATTGGGCAGAAAGGACCTGAACACATTTGCAGCCTTTTGAAAATTTACCAGTGCATTTCGGTGTAGTTTCCATGCATTTTCACCCGGCATTGTCCTTATATTCTCATGAATCCTGACAGTTGTACCTTTTTACTTCTCCTTACCACGATTTCACTGGGTTTTCCTAACCTTTAAGCAGCCTGTATGACAGTACACCACAGTGCCTTCATCATCCAAGAATATCATCCAAAAGCCTTAGCATCACTTTCTCAAGAATGCTTGCTAGCTTGAAGGTGCTAGTGTGCTGTTTGTAAAGAGAGATTCCCCTTTTAAGATGTCATCTTTCCTAAGTATAGATGCTTTCTCAAGGAACATTTCAATTTGTCTGGCCATTTGGGAAAATAAATGAACTCAGATTGAGGTGTTGAGTTCTCAGAATAGCCCCGTATGGATTTGTGCAGCTGTGTGAATTCCCTGCATTGTAACGATGTTGTTTTTGATCTCCTGCTTCATCGTTTGTTGCTTTGGATTCAATTTCCCATCCTTGAGGACTCTAAAGAACATTCCCCTTCACTTCATAAGAGAGCTTGAGAAGGAGAGAAGGTGAGGCAGGCGTCATTTCCACAGTTTCTGATGAAATGTCTTGTTTTCCCCTGTACTGTAGCTGCTACAGCTGCTTTTATTGCATTTGCTCATATTGCAGAATCTCTCTAGTCAGGAACCTACAGTACTAGCGTGTCTTAATGAGTCATCTTCACCAAAGAGCCCTTTAATGAAGATGTACTCTGAGAATAAAGCACCCTTGAGCTTAGCGATTGCTCCAAAAATACAATAGCACCCATCCGTGTTCCCCCAGTGAACAATCCTGGTAAATTCTGACATGATAAGGTGCAGTTTTTACTTTTCCACATAAGCAAGTAGTGTAAATATGCCACAAATATGTTTAATCCATTTCTAAATTAAACAATATTGTGTGCAAGGGGGTGTACTAGTTATATCATTACAATTGAGCTTTTCAGTAATAATGAGGCAAACTTCTGTAACACAGAAGACAGGTACAGTGATTCCATTAAACTTAAACACCCACATGACACAAGTAGTGAATGGTGACCGGCAGGAAATTATAGCATGAGACAAAATTCTGAGGTTTAATTGAGGCTGAAGTATATTATGTTTCTTGAGTTTAAAATGATGGTAATGTCGTTTAAAGAATTCTTAACCCTTTACTGACTATTATTATAATGATAAGATCGCACAAAACAGGGCAGTTTGTTTTTAAACAAAGTACTACCAACACTTGTAGGAATACTTGTAATACTGTAGATATTTGATATTGCGAGGATTTAATAAGAGACAAGATGCACAAGTGGAGTTTGCACTGCATGGCAGCAAAAATAAATAAAATAAAATAGCTCTGGGATACAGATCTAACATCCATCCATCATCAGAAAGCCATGTACTGAGTCATAACATGATTATGGAAATAGCCATTTCAACATGTGCTTGGGCAGTAGTATGACTACTCAAGAAAAATGACAACAGGGGCTGTTATTCGGAGGTTTACAGGATTGAGTGATCAAAAACAGAACGTGAGGAAAAACCGCAGAGGTGAAGTCAAAAGATGTTATCTCAGAATTGTACAATCAAATAGTAAGACCTCAATAGAATATTGTTTGCATGTTTGTTCCAAAAGTTACAAAATAAATATTGCTCCTCTGGAATTCAGACCGTGAAACCTGACACAAGCAATAAAGAGCCTCAAAGGTACTGACAGAGTCAACAGAATGAATCACGGACCATAATACGCAAGTGAACATGACATAAAACTGAGAACTTCTTTACATTGTGAGGGTTGTGAGAGTCTTGGGCAAGTTACCCAACCACATGGTTAAAGCTGACACCCTGGCTTCTTTCTAGAAATGGCTGGACGATATCTTTAGCCCAAGTAGCTACCAGCAACCACAAGAGCTAGATCTGCAGAATGGGCCCCCACTCATCTGTAACATTTCTCATCTTCTTATGTCCTAAAAACATACAGTAGAGTCACTTCTGAAAATCGAGTTTTGATTGAGATCGCCTTTCCGGACTTTTTAGGGCGGGAGTGAAAAAAGAGTAAGATATCAATCGGCATTTGTAAGAATGAAAAGTGCTGTTACCTGCTCTTCAAATTCGGAGCCCATATCCACAGAGTCGGCAGAATCTACGAGCAGGCTGAGGTCAAGTTCGCTGGGGCCTAGACCAGGAGATCACAAACACCATTAATTAGGAGAACTGTGACTGACAGGACAAGAGGCCTTTTGATGTCAATGCTTTGTGATTGGTGCCTAGTCTAATATTCCTTCCCAGTAGGAAAGGGAAAATCACAGGTGACTCACTGGATGAGGTCAGTTCAAACGGAGCTCTGTCCTCCGTTGAACAAGGCATTCACTTACTGGGAACCATTTTCAGGCCATTAAAGACTGAACACGAAGAGAAAGTGGCTAAGACAAGTCTCTGTGGTCTGATGGATCATGCAATTAAAATGTAATGCGGATTGTAAAAATGTAGAATCCTTGTGAGTCTATGTTAGTCATGTGATATTTTTAAACTGTATAATGATTGAAATAAAAAAACAGAAACATTTCTTCCATAGTAACAACTTATCCCACTCCTACAAATGCTCTACTGTCATATGACTTCATTTATGCGGTTTTTAGTTTTTTTCTAATGCAGAAGTCAAGCTGTTTGATTTGATTAAAATTGTCTACAAAATGAATTGGTAAAATGTTCCTTTTGACATGTTTTAACAGGCTGTGCAGAATGGCAGAATGAGAAGCAGAATAATTCTTCTGTTGGTGTTCATGTTATTGTTTCGTAGCATATCAATTCTAGATAATGACCAACTATCTTTGCTGTGAGGATCAGAATCCAATCCGACAGCACAAATGAAACTCAGAAACAAACAAAATTATCAGAAATAGATCACATTAGGCAACATACTGTATCATGAGCTGTGCACAGATACAAGTCTATTAATGTAAACTTACATCACCCCCGAATATTAAAATGATCACGTCATATTCTAATTAAAAAAACAAAGAAAAGGCATCACATGTTGCATGTTAATGATGTCATTTAAGATTAAAGATAATAAAACACAAAACAAATAGCTATCCTGGACACAGAGCTTGGAGGATTTGCAAATAGTCAACATATGTCACATTTCTAATACAGAGGCCGTGTATGGCTGAAGATGAATCATAACCACTATTAGATCATTTGTGATTACAGAAAAGTAAGGAGACAAAAACACAATGGCCTTTTGACCACGGGGGGGGGGAGAGAAGGTTCTTAAATATTGTAGGATATTACATCAAAACAATATATGCTAAAAAAAAACTTCTAAAAGAGATTAAGTTTCCTGACTAGAAACAAACCACATAAAAACGTTCTACCCTACATTCATCAGTTATGCATTGTCGTGTCACTCAATTCTCTACTCTCAGCTTTTAACTGTTAAGAAACTTTTTCAATATGTTTAAGGACGAAACCGCCCCCCTTGAATTTGGCCTAAGCACTCCGTGTGTGTCTCATGCATGTGTTTGTGTCCACCAGGTGAACCCCAAGCCTAGTGATTCCATTAGGTCCCTGCCTTTTCAGCAGGGAAATTAATGCTCTGTTGAAGATCCCAGCCACTCACAAGGAACCATTCTATTAATCTGGGGGCACTGCTGTTAGATGCTTTCCTAAATGTAGCACATTTCAACAGAGAGAAATCTGGCCTCGTTACCCTGTTTTGATTCTCCCTTTGACCTGCGTGGATCTGTTCGCCCTTGCCACGCCCCTCCCCGTGCGCCGGATCACGGTCGCCACGCCCCCCTGCCTGTCAACCCGTCCTGTCCTGCGGTACCTCCCCCGGAAGTCCCTCTCCACTTACTGTCGGATTAGACCGTCTGCAGGGGATCCTGAACTACCGTACGCTTCGCGGGAGCCGGTTACAGTTGTGAGTCTGGAGACCAACCAGCCAGAGACTTTCCTGTGAGCTCTGTCCTGCTGATCTTTCAAGAAACGGCCTGCTGTGATTCTTGGATCAGCCCACTATACGGCGAGTAAAACGGGCCAAATGAACCCACGTGTTGCACGTTGACAGGCAGTGTAAGTATAATACAGTGTAACTGAAACCAATCCAATTAAAAGGTTGCACACAAAAAGAGACTTTCTGTTCATCTTTGCATGATGCTAATATATCATTGCATTATTATGGGGGTGGCTCAGAGGAACCCGTCTTTGTAACGGAGCAAACAAATAAGAGATATATTTTCATACATTATTAATAAATGTAATGTGGCAGAAAGGGTAAACTGCTTCCAATATAGCTGCCAGTTCCTCCTTTCATTCCCTATAGTGTAGTGGAAGACTGGATCCTCACTGCAGGAAGCTACCCAGTCATGCTCTTAGTTTAAACATCTGAGGTGTAATGAAAATACTCAACTAATGATTTAGGTTCAGATCAAAAAGTTTTGACTGTTACCAAGTGTATCTAATTCTTGCATATTATATAGTATAATATAAAACTATTATGTGCTTATGTATTCCTGTAATGTATGAATTTCTTTATAATCATCAGTGCATATTTATTAATTGATGATGTCTCAAGGCTATTGGCTTAAAGGGTACACCTGTTGCTTTTGTTAATTTTTATATATGCAAGATATTTGTGTAATCTTTCAATTCTAAGGATGTTTCTTCTAGAATTGATTTTATTATTGGTTCAGTCACATTCAGACCGAAGGTCTCCTATCGGTATCCTTTCAGTTAATGTTATCGTGATCCCATTCCTGCAATGCTGAGAATCATAACAAGTACATCCAGCAAGAAGGTCTGTTGACTACGGTTCTCAGTGACCCCCCGTTAAAGGGCACCTTCACATCCGAGGTGAATACAGAAATAGCGGAATGAAATACCATGAGGTGGTCTTTGCTGAAAGGGTAACGTTCTGCGTCGCTGCATTTCAGAAAGCTACGAGGTGATGGAGATTTTATTTGAAGGAATTCTATTAATACATCTTGACTCATACCTTCAGTACTACACCTTTGGACAGAGGTGAGCCCGCACCATCTTCAAATTTCAACTAAAAAACACACTTTTCCGATTCAAGGAGCTCTGTCTGCTTTTGCCTTGCGCAAGGGAGGAGGCGTTAGTGGGCTTTAAGTGGCAATTCTTTTTTTTCTGGCCATTTCTCAGACGTGTGATTCCATCTTCCTGTAGGTCAAGCCTGCCCTCTTTTAGGCATCGTCAGTTACTCATCCTCCGAAGGGGAAAGGTCAGTTTCATGAGGACGTGAGCTAAACGATTTTTCGTCAGCCGAGTGGTTTTTAAAA